ATTGTAAATAAAATTAAAGTAATTTATATATAAGTATACCCTAATTACGTGGAACCTTGATTTTAAATTTTCAATCCTTAGATATAAAAGTTGAACATTTTATACATTTTTAACTACAAAATAATTATTACATTTTAAATATGATAAGTGTTGTCAAAATTCGAACTTTAAATGCTCATAAAAAAAAATTGTGCATATATATTTTTAATATTTTTCAACTGCTATTGTAAAAATATATCAGGAGCCTTGTATTAAATTTTCAAGCATTATTACCCAACAAATACAATTTTATTGACAATTCTAGAAAAAAAGACTAAAACAATTGAATACTGAAATCGTCCGTAAACTGCCCAAAAAGAGTCAAAATATTTTAAAAAATGTATGGTATATAGAAAATAAAAATATAAATATTCAGTGAAATTTTCATGTATTTACAGTCATTCGTTTTTGAATTACAACAAAATAACAAAATCGGTATACGAGAAATCGAGTGAATATCCAATCTTGTAAAAATATGAACTTCAAAGTTCAAACGCTCATAAAAATTTAATTTGATTTGCTTGTAAGTTGTAGACATTTTTATTTTTTTGATATAGGTAGGCAAACTTATGAGGAATTATGTATTACATTTTCAAACCTTAGATTTAAATAGAAAAAATTTTATGAATTTCTAACTCAATATGATTTGCACATTTTCATGAATTTTATGTATTTTGTCAATATTTTAACTTTAAATGCTTATATAAAAAATACGACTATGGATTTTTAATATTTTTTCATCTGTCTTTGAAACAATATATTAGGAGCCTTGTATTACATTTTGAAGCTTTTTTACCCAACGAATAAAGTTTAATTAACATTCATAGAAAAAAAACTAATAAAATTGACTAAATAGATATATTCAGGTTTCTTATCCTATTAGTATTTGTTTTTAGTTAAATATACTCAATGTACCTACCTATAGGATGATTGCAGCATCGCGTAAGTTTCCACACCACCTATTATACTTGTTAGTTGTTAAACGACATCATATCACATCGTCCACGTTGTTTAAAAGCATAGAATATCACGAATAGCGCGTATTTTTTGTTTTTTGAGGTATCCATTGTAGGCATAATCCACATAGGAAACGAGAACACGCGAACGCCGGCCGACTACAATATATTGTAATTTACATAGATCGATACAGCGAAAACTGCACTACTCTTGTAGATAAACGTACGAGCATTTTTCGTTATTTATACATCGATAATAGTTTGTTGTGTATTTGTGTGTATTGCCTTTCCGCACGAGCCACACGTACCATTTTTTGTCACTCCACTGCGTTCACCGATGATCGATCACGGCAACAGTAATGCAGAGGGACCTATGCAACAACTAGACCTTAATTCTACGACAACAATATTTCATGAAAGAAACGATTTGGTTTTATTTATTTTAAGCGTCCCGCACGGAGGTTATAAGACGAATATAAGATGTAACCAAAAGTTTATGTTTTTTGAGGACCGAGGTATAGATATTAGATTTCAGAGTCTGGTCGTGCGGGGGACTGATTAAGATAAGCGCGTGATATGTGCGCCCAGCACTTCTTGGGATTTCCACTTTACGGCCTTGCACTTTTAGGGATTCCCACTTTACCGCCCGATGGACGGAAAAAGGACGCTATCCAACGCTATAACCGCTGCGGAAAACCAAACTTTCGGTGCAGGCTTGACAAAACATATATTTTAATATAAATAAACAAATATCGAATTTAAGGGGGCTGGATCCATTCTAAGGAGTAAAAACTAGGAATTTTATATTTCGGTTTATATGGGTCTTGTGAATGTGTTAAAACTTAAAAGTAAATGAACATTAGTGCGTGTAATTCGTAGTACCGATCACGTTGTATACGATCATAATATTTCTGTCATTATTTACCTACGGGCATGCACATTTCACCATTTATTACTTTATAAAATTACAAACATTTTTTTTCAAAAAATACTGCCAGTGACTTCAATCACTACGCTCAGTAGGATACTAGGATGTTTCGATTTAAACTTTGAAAGCAGATTTGAATTCTCCTCTAAATTTAGTATGCTTTGACTGTAGTACATTTTTCATATTCTATATCAATGTATTTCAATTTGAATTATGAATATAACCTATTTTAACTCTTTTTGTTAGTAAATTTCTAAGTAAAAAAAAATTAAAACCAGAAAAATGAAATTGTCAAAGCATAGATAATTTAGTGAAGAATTCAAATCTACTTTCAAAATTATTATCAGAACATTATATTGGGCGTATAGTGATTGAAGTCATGAGGTATGTTTTAGACCGAAAATTAATCACGCTCCAGTCCCCTTAATGTTGAATAGGTTATAATTTCAAACATTTAGTTTTGGCGCAACATGGCTTCCGCACATTTTCAGCTTACTATTAGTGTTGAATATTAGTGTATTTCAGCCTCTGGAAAGGCGAGCTATAGACTGCTGGTGCCGAGGGACTTCTATTTGTCACATAAAATTATAAGTCCAAATGGAGTAAAAATACAATAGTTTTAAATTATTAGGATATCCAATTATTTAAAATTCAACATTGCCCAAATTTTATAACTAGAACTATATATTATTATTTATAATTATTATATTTTAAACTTTTATTATATATATTATAATTTATTTGTTATTATTTAGAGATTACCAAAGTCCTATTTATTATTTTTCTAAGTCTCCTACTATCATCTTACTTGGCGTCTAAAGTTTAGCTTACTTATGCGCCGACCAAGACTTATATCAAAATAATTAATTATCGTCACTTGGACTTAGTAACTTTTCTATAAAGTTTGACGGATGATGAAACATTGTAGGTGCATAATAATATTTAAGTCTTCAGACACCTATGTGGCTTGAGAGATATAATCCTTCGTTAATAACTGCATTCATTGTTGATGTGAGTCTATGAATCTAAAAAGTGTAATTTTTTATGTTGAAAATAAAAAGAACTTATACTTTACAAACGAAAAGTAACTTAAAAAAGTTAAAAAGAATATAGTAAAACTTTTAGAAAATAAAAATTATAACAGAAATCGGAAAAATATAAATATTATTAGGTAATGAAAACAAAAACTGATGTATTATATTATACAAATGTATTTTAAACAAAATTAGAACGGTAATTAAATTAATAACTAGGCAACATACTATTGAGCCAGCATATTTATTATTTCTTATAATAATATATGAATAAATTGTTAGTGTAGATAAGTTTGTTTAAATTGTGTTTGTGGCCAACACACAATCCAAAAAATGAATACCAAGTAGGTATAGCTCTCCACTAAGGCTGCCTTTATTTACATCCACAGTCGGTTTAAAAAAAAAAAAACAATTTAACAATAATTAACTATCTAAGTCTTCCTCTTTAAAGCTATTCTAATTCTAGTTCAAATCAGTCAGAATTAAAAAGTACCTACACAACTAAATAAAAATAATTGTAATGGCATTATTAATTAGGGTATTGGTACTTATTGTGATAGGACTATAGGAGAGGTGGACCACATCGTTCCAGAAGTCTGAACTAGCAGTAATTCAAATAAAAAAATTTACTGGCCGAAAAATTAAGTATTTACTGTTACTGTTTCACAAATTTGAAATTATTTTTAATAGATATAGTGTTAAGATGAAATTATACAGGAAATCTGAAAATCTTTATAATTTGTTAACTCCTAAAAATATAGGCCTAGTTGCGTCTATGCATACTATGATATTATATTATATTACAGAGTGACACCCACTTGTCCACCTTGAGGGTGCTCTTAAATCTCATCTCATGTTTTGAACATAGAACTAAAGTTCATTAAAACGCTTATAAAAAATGTATCTATAAATCCATAAATGTATTTTTTTTTTTTTTATTCTTTATTCCATTATGAATCACAAGGGGGCATATAAATATTCTACAACGAGACTATTAGTTATAAATTTATTGGATTTAAAAATCAGAATAAATTACAATATCTATCCTCCGTTACAGCATATTTGTATAGTTTATACTTTTTATTTAACAAATTGTAAACTTTATCGCATGGAAAAAATCAAGCAATCTTCATTACGGGTGTAATATTACAATTACAGGTATAATACTACAATACATTATAAATCTGTATTGTAGCATTAGAAAATAATTTGTTATCTACACTAGTAGCCAGATGTAATTATGGAAAGTAGTTGAAATTGAACTATCCAGTGGCGTGTTCACTACCAACCATCAATAATGTCAATATAAACATCTGTACTTAAGTGTTTTCATCAATCTTTTTTATTGATAGAATCATAAATTAAACAACCCTGTCTCTGTGTTAAGTGACAAAAGAGAACGCAATAGGCAACAATAAAAAAAATTATATATAAATAGTTTATTATCAAAAATACTTAAAATGTAAGTAAATGTATTTATACGTAATCAAAAAATAACTACTAATTAACTTAAAATATATAATACTTAATTTTATATTTTTATTTAAGGCACAATTTGAATGAAAAATAAATATGGACGGATTACAATAATGATCAAATTAGATGTATTTAATTAAGAGAAACGGCAATTATCAAATTTCATATAACATTTCCTAAAACAGTTATTTCCATATGAAATTAGAATGCTGCAGTTTCTCTTAAATTCTTACATATTAATGGCAGTCTTAACAAAATAGTTTTTAGGTATACTACCGCTGCTGAGAGAGCGCTACTGGGCGGCGACCAAAACTCGTCCGATCTTGAGCATTCCCGCCACTAAACCTGCCTGTATAGTTGCAACAACTAGGTGGTAGAGTGGGAGAAATTCTGGTACGAAAAAGCGGTCATTTGGATGCGCCAACGAGTAGCTCTCAGCGGCGGTAGTATAGCATACACAACTTCCAATAAACTAGATTTATGTAAAAAAAAAATAATACTTTTTATAGTCGTAATACAAAAATTGTCTTTATAAGAATGTTAATAAAATATGTACATAAAAACCTATTAAAATATAAGAAGCTCGATATTTGGAGATTGCATTTCGTTGATCACTCTGTATTGGGTGTAAACACATAACCAGCAATAAAACTAAAAATAAAATGCATTAGAATATTTAAAGAACGGATTATTTTATACAATTTATGTATTGGTATTTTATTTAGTTTTGGCAAACATACTTGCATAGCAGCCACGATCCAATAAATCACAGCAGCGCATACTATGTGAATCTAAAAAAACAATATACATTTTTACGTATGTAATATAAATTGTAAAATTATTATGAAGCATATTCAATTATTTAAATATTATTATTAATACTGCTACCGCTACGACTATAAATATTAAAAGGCAACAATTTTTTTAAATAATGAGTGTTTTATGTTAAATGAATCACCTGGTATATATGTTAACTATCACGAAAAGTGTTCATTATCCTAGCATAATAATACTACCTGATTTCCACAGACAATGTAACTAAAATTAAATATTGTTTGGACTATATGGAATTGGCCAGTCTAGCTCAAGCAATGTAGGTACAATTGTTGGCTATCTTGTTGTATGCGCTCTACCATGTTTTGCAATTCTACAATTATATTTAGATTTTAGACAATAATATATTCTTGTATTAAATGGGATGATGTTAATGTGGTTTTAATGAAGATCTGGAGCAATGAAGCAAATCTGTTGTTGTACCACACATATTTTTCACAATTTTTAGCCTAAGAGGCCGCCATAAACTTTCAATCCTTTAGGTTTATACCTTTGATATTGGATCTACAAAATTAACGTATAACGACTTAGTGATTGTACCCGTGGTTCGAAAGTCTATTATACCCTGACCAGCTATCGGAATATATTGTAGACCCAACAATAACCTATCTTTGTATAATTTAGTGCAAAGTCATTTTGTCCCTTTTTTGGACAACAATAGCCGAATACTCGTGGTTCATCAAGCCGTCTTCCATAGTTTCTTGCTCCGTTTTCTAGAGGATCAACAACCAAATATGAGATGAAAAATTATACGATGCAGGAAAAGAGAGTCCTAATCTTTATTACCACATTAATAAAGATATAAATTGCATAGTAGAGCGCATACGACAAGATAGCCCGATTGTTGGTATGTATAATACTTAGGCTGGGTTGCATAAAGAACAGTCTGTACATTTGTTACCGGCTCTGTAATTTACCGCCCCTGTAAGGTTTTAATGATTGTGAAACTATGTGTAAACTATGCTAGTGTTGCATAAAGAAATTTTAAATTATTGATAACCGTGGTAACCAAATAAATTAAACCATAAAGTTTTCTTATCATTATAATAATTTTACCGATCTGTAAAGTAGTTACAGATGCAAAATCCTATCTGCAGTTTACAGGTCCCGTGGCCGATAATTTACAGAGCCGGTAACTTTACCGAGAGTTCAAGCAACACTTAATTTCATTTACTGAACCGTTAACCCACTTACAGAGTGTTTATGCAACCCGGCCTAAGTCTAGGTCAAATATTATGAACTACCTACTAATATAATTTTTTTTTGCACAATTTTGTTATAAAATATGTTTCTTTCATTATATTTATATTTGCAAAAACTTTTCCAGAACACTTCATTACACATGACGGACTGCGTTGCACAAGTAGTATATTGTGCAGCTATCATAACAATGGATATGTTACAGGCAATTCGATTATGATAAAATTGATGATTCGTACACGTTGATTATATCTGATTAAAGAAATTTTGTAATTTCTCTGAGTAAGTGAGTAACTACTTAGTTCTTGGATTAGTGTTTATCCTCTCACATTTACTATATTATTTAATGAGAATAATAATAGACTACTTCATAAAGAACTATGAAAAAATGAACAATAAATAATAAAATTATACATTTTGCCTTTCCTGAAGATCAACAAAAATGTCCTATTTTATTATTTTATTATGACTTGATGTCTGATAATGGTTGTTAATTGTTATAATTTATAACTTTATTTCTAAACAAATTTAAAAACTTAAAATATAGATGAATATTAATTTTCACTTTATTAATGAAATAGTTAGAATCAAACTAAATGGTACCCAAATGATTTTTATATTTTTGTTAACACCTAATATCATGATTTGATATATTATACAAATAAACAAAAAAATGTGCTGCATCTTCAAAAACCAATATACTTGAAATTCCAAATTATATTCAGAAAAGTAACCAATTAAAACATATAATTATTATTAACTGAGAATAACAATGTTTAAATTTTATTTTAGAAATAAAGATATTATATAAATTACTTACATAAATATAGTATCCATATAGCAGCCAAATGGACCAAACCAGCAAAAAAATTACAACAAATCCCATACCAATTAACCATGGTAATAGGAATCCTCGGAGATTGTTATCCAAACCTTTCAGCAACAATAGAGATGAACCCACCATATAGGCGAAAAATATTAAAGTGTACACCACATAATAGTTAAGTTCTAAACAAAAAATAAAATGATTAAAAAAAGTGATGGAAGAAACGTACTATAATTTATTATCATTATGAGTAATATATACAATATACATCCTCCCAACACCCCACAGCATAACTGAGTAAAAAACCTCGGTACAATCATAGCTGTTATTTAACAATCATAAAGTTCTTAAATGTATTATGGAACAAGTTCCTTCATTTAAAGGCCAAACTTATAAGACATAATACATATAGATACTAGATAATTATTAATAATTTTAATTATAAGCGTTATTTATATATAAACAATATAGGTTATAACTTATATGAAAATGTGTACTTAATTTAGTGTATGATACTTTATATAATATGATGTATCTTATCAATTTTATAGCAGTAAATAGTATGTTTTTAGTTTAGTCGTACTTTACACATCAACCAAATAAGAAAATGATTAATTTTATACCGTTTAATCTTTTTGGAACTTATATAAGAAAAATATTCTTGCCTATCATAACTCTTAGAGACAAGACATTGTGCAAAATATTTCCATGGACTTTTATAATATAAGAAAACATATTTTAAATTACATTAGGTAGTTTATAGATAAGATACCTCTTACTATTACCTACAGTATCGCCTTTAGATTACTTACCACGTAAATTAGCTTCAAAAAATGGATTATACATTTGTGTCGATTCACCTCCATTTTGCATATGAACAAGAAGTGCCATCAAAAAAATTGATATAGCCTAAAAATAATAAAATAAATATTAATATACAGGAAAAATACAAAATAAATATTTATGCACTAGTAAAAAAAAAATAAATTTATGAATTTACAATTGTGTATGCTGCTACAAATTTACAACCAGTTTTCACGTCCGGATACACGACAATAGGTGTCCAAAATGTTTTTAATAGAGTCATTGTTTTTTTTTGTCAACAATCACAATAAAATCTAAAAAAAAAAAAAAAAACATTAATTAATTTTAATAAAAAGCAGCAATCACTAAGTAGGATAGTAAAATGCTATTTCAATACAGTATTAAAAACAATAATTTCACTTTCTGCCTTTCTATTGTACCACGCTTATAACTACTAACTACTATTCCTACATGATCAATTAAAATTATGTAATAATTCATACATTTAACCCAAGGTATATTACAAAGTAATAGCACAGATTATATTAATATAATAGCAGTAAGGTGGGTTATAGTGATAATAGCAGTACTACAAAAATAAATTATAAAATAAACTATGTAAATAATTGAAAACGTATAAACATTTATAAATATGGACTAAAATGTACGGTTTTAAAACTTCAGTTAAAAAGAGTAGGTAAATTTGTTTGGAAGCAGAAAGAAGCTATTTATAATAATTAAATTTAACAATATAAATAATTTATTGATTGCAATAATAAAATTAAAATTTTAATGGATAATTAGGTATAGTATAATATATTTATTGTGTAAGCTAAAAACCACATAACTTAATCGAAGCAAATTTGAAATATATAGCATGGGATATAATAGTATGAACATGAACACATTAATTGGAAAATAAAAGATATCATGATCAGTATAAATAGGTACTTAAGATTTTTCAGTAAAATCAGTATCAAAGTAGATCATTTTAAATGACACGCAGAAAATAATGAAAATCAAATTGAAGACAAGAGTGAAACTCTGTAACTGATAGGTCAACATTAGGTAAACTTATAACTTATTATCAAACAGAGTAGTACTATGACCAATGGGTGTATATAAACACAAAAGTAAAAAGTAAAAATTTGCAAAAAGTAAAAACAAACACCGCCCAGCAACTAGTGCATATTATCTGCTAAAAGTACAACTAAAACACGTAAACCGATAGCCTTTGTTTTTCTTTTAAGTTAAAATTTAATTTGAAAATTGGACTGTGCCACCAAATTCGTGCAAAAAAAAAAAATAAATAAATGTATACCACCCACTAGTTTTCTTACCACAAATAATTGTTAATAACAAATGCCGAACAATGGGCTTTAGGGCGTGTTGCAGTAGCTGGAGGTGAGTCTGCTTACGAGTTACGAAGTCCGTCGAACGCTTTTCCGTTCGTGTTCAAAGTTAATTGTTTTTGGGTTTCGAAGTTAACGGTTTGGATTAGCGAATAACGTAAGCCAGTGGCCACTAATTAGCGAATAATTGACTCTTGGGAGTTGGGAGTAATTTGGGAAGAACGAGATATGTCAAATGGTCACTCGTCAGAATGAATGATATGACGTTATCACTTATTACCAGAGAATCACAATGTAGGTAAAAGGTAAAACGGCCAACGGGTGAACGGTCACATAGATTCCTCGACAGCTAGATCTCGGTGACTAACTGACGCAATAGGATCTAATTGACGGGGGATTAAAACGACCACAGCGAGTTTAAAAATTAATTTTAATTTTAATTACTAATTAGTATTATTATTTTGTAATGACTCAAAAATTACGATGGGAAATAAGATACGACGCCTGTCGATAAATATATTAAAATCGTAAGACTAAGCAATTACCTTCCTCCAGGTGATCGGAGGGCTCTCGAGATCGTGTTTTCGAGAATTAAATCAAATACACTATACAACACAATTGTATATAAAGCATGCACAGATAATATAATAAATGCAATTAATATAAAATATTACATTAATTGCCTTACCTGATTCGCAGTCGATTGTGAATTATTTTGTAAGGATTTTAATAGACGCAGAGTAATATTTTTTTAAATTATAACTCGAAATAATAAACGCACTGATTATTGCTCACATACGGAGTCCAGAATGTCGCTCGTTGAAATCGGTTTTTTTTAGACTTTTTTTGGAGGTTGTTACTCTGTGAATGGTGCCAGGGGCGGAGTGGGAACCAAATCCAGGCCGGGAGTTTAAAATTTATCCACCAAAATTTTTTTCTCTCTAAGCTCGAATTTGGTTTTTCTATTTACCTAGGTATTTCAAAACTACTTATGTCTTATAGTATTTTAAAAGTATTTCAATCACTATCTTGCTATTTCTTTTAACTTCTGTCTTCTAACACATTACATTAATATACCACTAAGTACTTATACCTGAAAGTCTGAAAAATAAAATTAGTAGGTATGGTTTAATAGTTGAAATCAACGAAATATTAATAATTATATTAAACATTGTGTTTTAATTGTTTAGGTTTAGTAGGTATAAGGTAATAACTAATAAGTAATAGATAAATACATACATTGTAAACAATATATTATAATAAAAAAGATTTATACATTCATAGTAATAATTTAGATAATAGCTTAGATTTCTCACCAACTGCAGCATTTTAATTTATGATAATATTGTTATCTATTTCCATGAGAATTTTATTTTCAATGGCCATTAGCATAAAAGACTCAAGATAATCATTGGTCATTGAATTTCTCAGCCTGTTTTTTAAATACTTCAATGTTTAAAATGGGTGTTTTATTATAAAAATAACCGACCTATATCAATATTATATTGGTTTGATTTTATTTTATGTCTATATTTATGTACCAAATATTTTGTAATTTTATATCCAAAGCCTTATCCATAAGAGTATACAATTGTACGAGGCTATCCCAATGTACTATTATTGCATTAATAGTATTTGTAATACAATAATTTAATAGAAACAAATTTTTGACGCATATAGCATTAACTAATATTTTGTAAATTAAATTAAATTTAAAAAAAAATCTAACAAAATGGCCAGGCCACCAGGCCATCTGGAAAATTCCCATTTCCAGACCGGCCACTCCGCCCCTGAATGGTGCTCATGCACTGGCTTAAGGGACGACGTGACGATGCTGACCAGAGAGTGGTAGGCGGCTTTATCAAAAATGTTATCGTGAGCTTGGGAACTAGATTATTCTTTGGCGGCAGATACCCTTTTTTTTTCTTTCCTTTTCTCTGGCGGCATCGTATAATAAAGTCACACATCCTGTGTTTTACCGTTATGAGTGGGTGCCGATATCTTAGTTGGCGTTAATAATGGTTTTATTTGATGTGACCGATTTCTACAAACGATAGTCTGGCCGTTATTTATTAAGTATTCTGTAAGATTTTAGTTTATTATAATGGTGTGTGAGCATATCATTACAATTTTTATTTATAAATTAAGTCGTAATTTTAAATTGTAATGGGTTTATGATTTGTACTTATTGTATTGCATAATGCATAGTAAGTACTACGTAGACAGTAACTAAACTATTTTATTTTATATAGAACAGTCCATAGACATATATCTATGGAACAGTCGAACAGTGTTGTTGTGATCTAAATACCTTTTTTTACATTTTATTATGGAAATATAGACATCAAATCTGACGCATATTAGATAATAATACCTGCTTAGTACTTAATACTTATATTACAACACAAAACACAAACAATTATAAAAACTATTATATAAGTAAAGTAGGTATATTGATGTATGTACTAAGTAGGTACCTAAGTAGATTGTAGATATCGATAAGTAATATTAATATAATATAATTATTTATTACCTACCTATTATGCCATTATGATAATATAATTGATTATAATTTATAACTGTGTGGCCCTTATTACATATTTTTCACGGTACAAAATATGTACATTATCCACGGCTATTATTTTAATTTATAACTTACTATTGTTTATAAATTATATCGTAAAATCGTTGCCATCAGCTGCCATCATTCATCAACATCTTAAGATCATACAATGTTTTTGTCGTTTATGGTCTATACGATAGTCAGAAAAAAAATCCAAATTTTATAATAATTATAAATTAATAATTTTTTTTAAAATGTTTAACATACCGTAGATCGGGGTGACTAAGTGACTTTGATAAATTTTGTTAATTTTTTATTGTTGTTTTACTTGTAATTTCTTTAATACTTATGTCACAGATCTAAAAATAGTGTTGTTGCCTCAAGTTTGTTTTTACCAATTTCCTCAAATTGTAATTTAATTTTTTCAACTATTGGTTTTTTTTAAATTATATTTTGAAAATAGCTATCAAAGTTATACCGCCTTCGGGGTGACTTTGAAACCACTATTTTTTTTAATTTTAAATTAATGGAAAGGTTATGAAACCTATCAATCTCGAACCATTTAAAATTTGGTCAAATAGTTTTCGAGATATAATTTAAAATGTATTGTGGGGTTACTTTGATACAGGAATATGGTAAATAAATACAGAACACATTTTAAAGTATAACATAACATAATATTTTTAAACTTTTAGTGGACTAACTCAGTATTTAAATTTACATTTTAAAGTAGGTATATAACATAACAAAATATTTTTTTAATTTTAAGTAGGTAGTCAGGTAGACTAACTCAGTCTTTAAATTTACATTTTAAAGTAGGTATAACATGGTAACATAATATTTATAAATTTTAATTAGACTAACTCAGTCTTTAATGTTACATTATAAAGTAGGTAGGTATAACATAACATAATATTTTTAAATTTTAAGTAGACTTTTCCTTCAGTAAATTTCCAACATGTCACAATTGGACAAAAATAAATTGATACTTTGTGGATAAAGTAGATATTATCTTGAAATTAATTGATTGATTTATGTCTTACACCTAGTTATTCTTAACGTATCTACTATGGACAGGGTAATTTTTTTTAAATGTAGGTACCTACATGCCGCACTGTTGCAGTATGAACTATGAACTACAATTAATATTAAGTTATACCTCTATAAACCTTGTTTTACATTTTTTTTGATTATTATATACTTTGTACAGGGTGATTTTTTTCAAAAGTACATGTTGCAATATGAACCAATATTAAGTTATATTATTATATAGTATAAAATTTGTATTTAAATATTTTCCCACCAGAAAAGTAGAAGTTAATAATATTAAATAAGTAAATTTATTAAATTTATAATAAAAATAAAAAA